TTACGCCGTAACTGCGCCGCATTTTGATCGCAATGAAACATATGGGATATACGGTCATCTTGCATGACAAAGAAAAAAAGAAGGAAAAGAAGGAATTTTGTTAAAAAGAAGCATGAAGAAGGACGCCCCTTAAAAAGAAGGAAAAAAGTAAGAAAGGAGGACCTCTGCGGAGCCTGAATTATTAAATAATCTGTTGTTCAATACTGGCCTATATCCTGAGTAAACGATATAAATTTCGTACGGCTACAACCGCTTATATTATATCAAATAAAAACATACATTAAAAGGTAGAATTATAAAAATCTCACGCGTTGCCATCATACTACTGTTACTCTTAAAAATAAATAAATCGGTTGAAAAATAATTACTAACATCAGTGGTATCGTATACGTGCTTCTTCTTTGACATAATCAAATTAAGTCTATATTTCTATATAGATGGCTAGCCTCACTTATCTAAATTTTACCTATTGAATGATTTTTAATTAAGAAATAAATTTTAACAATGTTTTATTTAATAAAATAATGTGAATAATAAACTCAACATAAAACAATCAAAAAATACTCGTTGTATCACATAATAAAAACAGCTATAATGTAAGATCATGTGAACTTTTTCTATACTTTTTTCTCTTTAATCATATATTGTCGATGATAATCATTGAACATATTAACAAGACTTTCATTAAATAAAGCTTTGAGTAATTTATTAAAGATTTTCCAATTATGTTCTTCTAAAATCGTATCATGAATTAAATGAGCATCACCAAACTGGCTAAATGCATCACGATTCCAATATCCAATACCAGCAACACGATCAAGACGCATCGGACGACCACGTTCGCTGATTTTTAAATTTTTATTTTTTTCACGATAATCTGTTAATAACATTGAACATAATACTTGATCCATATACCAAGATGAATCACCTTTTGTCATTGGTTTATCATATATATCTCGAAATTCATGTCTACCATAAATAGATACTGTATCAAATGAAAATGGTGCATCTTTACTTAATAGCTGTTGTGTTCGAGCAGTAGTATTAACGAGAAGTTCAGTTCTTTGTTTGGATTCCATTATCATCGCGAGCCAAACTTTCTTCTTTAAATATATATGGCCCACTAAAAGCAAAACAAAAAAGAAAGTTGAATCACAATCTATACGCTCTTTTTGTTATTAAATTTTTTTTCTGTGATCACTCAAGAATACATTGACAATCAGATAATGGTGTGTTATGATCAAAGAGAAAGAAAAACGAAGATGAAGCTAATCTAATATTTCATTAGTACGTAATTATATCTATCTTATGAATCATATTCGAAAATGACCTTCTAGAAAAAGGAAAGACAGATACTTTTCAGTTGGTTGACGTTTTAGTTATGATTTTGCTAATTTAATAGAGAAAAATAAGTTTAACGTGACATCCGATACAACTAGTCTCAATAAGTTCAATAACTATATTTACGCGACGAGCATGTAGATCGTAAATCATTTTTTATAAATTAAATTTCGAAGCTTATGAAAAATCTACTGATAATACCATTAACTATATGACAAGGACTCTTTAGTTTAATCAAATCATTCTACATTGATGTACAACATGTCCCATCAAGGAACGTCGAAGTGAGCGAAAGTCTAGAAAAATGATCCTTCAGCTTCAACAGGCACCCATGAGTATATACAAATACACTCGCCTTTCGGGTAAATAATTCCTGACAATAGACCAAAAGAAAACAACGGTCACTTTTCTTTGTCTTCCTCGGTATGTAACATATGAAAAGTTCAATCAAATGACATGCTATCGATCGTTCAAGTTTCATATAGCTATCGGTGATAAATAATTGCATTTTTGTTTTTTCTCTTGAAACATCGATTAAGCAAATATTAACTTCATTAAAAGGTGTCTTCGTATTTTGGGGCACACACATAAAACGAGACAAACAAAGAAGCCAGCAAATCTTAGATAGATGAATGATTTATTTACTTCTCCAATAGATAAGTATTAATCATTTTTTTCTTCTGTTAAAGCAATGATTTACTTTCAAGAAAAAGAAAAGAAGACTTATTATACGACAGGTGCATCGTAGATTATAGAAAAATATGAAATTATTACTCATTTTCTTCATTCTGACACTTTCAGGAAGTTAATTTCAGTAGGAATCGTTCATGCGCTATTCTCATTTTAATATTTCATTTGATCGGGGAAAAAAGGAAGAAAATATTGAATATGACACTATAGTAACTCTAGCTTTTGGGTTGTTACTTAGTGAGTATGCCATTCAATTGTGTCCTCAAATCTAGCAGCCTTGTCGTTGTTGGTTTTTTTTACAAATGTTAAGATGAACGGATTAAGTGTTTATGTGTGCTGTTGATTGTGTGAACAAGATGCAAGAATGACTCTGCAAAGTATCCCGTCGGAAATTATTTCTTTATCGGAAGACAATCAGAAGTAGAAACTCATTTCTCGCTGAAAAGAAGCAGGAAGTTATGCTGATACACGTGTTTCAAAGATCATACAGCATACAGGGCATTGTAATTCTATTCATGTATAAACATAAAACTAACTTGGAAACATTCGATAGGATCTTCCACGTCGTTGAAATGAGCCACAGCAAAAAGCATTAAATATAAATCCATCTGTTCCATCGTTTGATTGATATTCACTTGATCTCAATGGCATCAGATCGCTATCGCCCGTTAACACATCATCGTCATCGTGTACGATAGAATCAGGTAAAAAACCAGAAAAAACACGTATCAGTTGAGATACTTTAATAGCATATGATTCATTACATTGAATATCGATAATATATGCGCCAACATGTTTCAAATAGGAACGCGATAAGTTCAGACGAGATGTAAGTATATTGGGTAGGGTGAAATCACCAACAAAAACAACGATCGCCTCGTAACCGACGCGCTTCCAACCAGCGGCTATAATAGGTGTATAAAAAGAATATGCAAGAGTTGTCGCATGAATAGAACAAGCAAAAATTGCAAATCGCCTATTCGATGACGTAGAATTTGTTTCATTAGACGATAGGTTAATTTCATGATCTGTATGATTTTGATTAAAACTTGCCAAGCGATTTAGTATTATATTACGACCATTTTCTATTAAACTATTTAATGCTGTATTAGAGTAGAGTGCAATTGACATAAAACATAAAACAACACATAGAACAAAAAATGTAGCTTTCATACAACTGGATGTAATCTGTAGAAAAAAAAAGACAAGAACATATCATAAATGAAAATAATAATCAATGAGAAATTTACTGATTGACTTGTTCCACATGGCATTTTAGTAATGATTCAGATGTTTTGAAATAAAATTATTTCACCTTTTCTTGATGAACCTTGCCATATCATGCTTTCTTAGAAGGAAAACAGAAATGCAACTTTTTTTGTCTTTTAACAAGCAATGTAAAATATTTCAAATTTATTCTACCTGGTAAATGAGAGTAGAGATTACGCGTCACGCTTAGATTCTAAAATATGCGAGAATGAGACGGCGCATGTGTGCTTGAAAATTACTTCATTCAATGAGCACAGGTTCTTTTTCATAGAAAGAGAACAGAGGAATAAAGAGCATCGGGAGAAAAGAAAAAAGAGCACAACCGGTAGAATACATAAGAATTCAACTTGTAGGCTGTGGCAAGTTACTCACATTGACGTCCACGTATATGAGAAAAAACGAAAGAGAATCATCGAAGAAACAGAATCGACAACGTTTTCATGGTCAATGTAAAAAAACAAATAAAAGAAAGAGAGAGAGAGAGAGAGAGAGAGAGAGAAGAAAAATATTAGCTACAATCGACTGGTTATCTTATGCACAAAATTCATTTTTCATTAAATTAAAAAAATTCTTAACTATTCATCTCTTTTTTTGCTTACTAAACGTTTATATATAATCGTTTTTTAACAAAATTATCCAAATCATTGATACAAGATGAAATAATTCACACGTCTGAATAGACAAACTCGACCACATTAGTTTCTATATTCCGAATTTCGTTTTCTATTAACACTAGAAGAATCATCTTAGTTCATTTTTTTTTTGAAACTAAACGATCTTGATATAGTCATAACCACAAAAACTTCACATCATATTTATCTAGAGTCCAATGCTCCTAGTCGATTGGATGATAGTGAAATAAATCGACATTTTCACACATGTTCTACAGTATTGAACGAGTAACTCCTCTTTTTCTGTTTTTCTTCCAAAGACTCAATACATTTAAATGGGCTCGTCTTTTGAGAGTCATTTACCCTATTGACATATGTTTTCATGGCTGCATCTGATCGAAATATCATTACTAATCACTCGTTCTGATATTTATTTTTTGTGGAACTCACATATATTTTCGAAGAAAATGGTGAGTGTAAGTTTAAAAGCGAAATTTTTGCGGCTCCCCATTAAAGATGTAAATGAGTTTAAAATTGTGTTAATCAGGAGCTTGACTAATTAGGCTACTATTTCTTCCTTTTTTAATTACAGACTACACGAAAAAAGCAATGCCGGCCCCTTACAGATCATAGTAACTAGTCTCTGCCATTGTTAAATATACGAGCTAACAGTTAATACTCCATTACAGACATAAGCAAATAGGTAATAACCTAATTATAGGTTTTGGAAATCAAGGTAAATTTTTCAGATGAACTATTTTGAATTGCTTTAGTAAGCCTAATGGATATATGTGAGTTCCACATTTTAGCCCCAAAGGGGCTGCGCTAACAAGCTTTTCGATATGCAAAACGCTGTCAGCTTCTAATATTTATTTAATTAACATCGTTCTCAAGCTTCACATTTGGTTCTAATCTAATTACTCAAGATATAGCATGATAGCTGTTATATTTTTTTTCCTGCGATGCGTGTGATTCAAGCAGTTTCTGCTAATGCGCTTTTTTTCCGTAGATTGTTTTCACATTGTTATTAAATGAATGGCAAACAAATGTCTATTGGATCGCTCATTGTATTTAGCTAATTTTTTAACGATCAATCCTTTTTGAAAATATGAAATAGAGTACTACTGTAAAAGTTATTTTTATTGAAACTCTACAAGTAACGCGACAAAAAAACAAAACCACAACATTTCGACGATACACATAGATCATTATCACGTGAATGATTGTTACAGCAGTATTCTACTTCATATTTTCAACATTAATTATCCTTGTTCTAACAAAATGATTAAAAACTTGTTGTACTTCTTTTTGCATCCGCTACTTTTACTTGAACGACAAGTATAAATGAAATATGTCACAAAACAAAGAATATTTCATTTCCTGATATTGCTTAGTTAATTTTCTACTAATCAATATAGAGACATTTGAAGAGTAAAAGTCGTATGTTTACGCTCACCTCGAATTAACAGTATAGTTTCCGACACGATCTGAACTTATTATCATAGCGAACATATTGCAAATCTCGTTAAAATTTACTCTATTGATCCAATTCTTTGACGGACATTTTGAATTTCTTTTTTCTCTCGGCTTTTTTCAATTCTGTCTTGTTTATTTTACTTCTCTCGTTCTTTTGGTTAGATTTATTACTCAACCATCGATTCTTTTTATGAGTACCATAAATCTCTTTTTCACATGGTATGTAATAATTCAATCTTTTATTTATACTCCATGGTAACTTTGCAATGTCTTGTATTTCTATCAGTCAAATACAGCTATGGTTGTGGATGTGAGGTTGTATGCTGCATAGTCACATAAATTAAAATGAGCATGATTTAGTATTGTTATGTATTTTGGAGAGAGAGAAAAGGCTTTGTTAAAAGTTCAATAGTAGACTTGTCTATTGCTGTTAGGTAGAATGATTTAGACGCAACATCGCGTCATTAAAACTTGAAAGAATGAATAGTAAAAGAGAACGATAGAACACTCTTGTAGATGCACATCTAGAACTATTGAGAACGAAAGTTGACACAATTACGTTGAATATCTTTTTTTCTAATCTGAAAAATCATATGTTTCATTTCGAAATAACGGAGCGTATTGTAAGCATGTCCAAAGTGTGCTTCGCTTGTTCTCTTTCTTTTTTTTAAATAAAATGTATGCGTGAGAAATAATTGCTTGACTCCATATAAACATATCGATTCAATAAGTAAGAAAGAGGAAAACTTGTGGCCAAATCTTTATGAAAACAAATATTGCAGCATCAGCTGCAAAATAATGTTGAAGTATTACGAAATATCGACTGTTTATGGTAGGCTTTTTACTATGTGAGCTATAGATAACATTTCACGTTCTAAATAAGGTATGAAAATAACAATGAGATGACGAATTATTTGCTTTTGTAAATGAAAGAAATTCACTTCTGCTAGAAAAACTTGATTTAGTACGCTTAGCATTTTAGAAGGACTTTTTCCTTTCCATTTTTAAAACAAACTGTATGTATGAATCTTGAATACTAGAACGAACCGAATATTTCATTATACATTATAGACTAAATTCTTTTAATCTTCATAGGGTCGCAAACTATTTTTTATTGTAACTACCCTAGCGGCATCAGTCCTTCTTGGTATCTTCGTAATTTATAGAACGCCAAATATCAGACATATATGGCCACAATTCAAAATGAAATCTTTTCCTCATGTTTTTCCCTCTACTGCTTCGCCGAACAACGTAGAACCCATAACGAATGAAACTCGTCGATTTGCTTTATTTGCATCATCGATTCATTCACAACTTCGATCATATATATTCTACGGTCCAATAACGGCAGCGTCATGGCAACGAGTTGGTTATAAAGTAATTGCTGTTTTTGTCGGTGATTTTAATAAAAATAATAATACATTACAACTAAATTTAACGCAAACCATGCTAAAACGATTAGGTGTGCGAATAGTGAATTTACAATGTGACATAGCATATTCTATAAAACTATCTCAATTAGTACGAATGTTCGGTGGATTTTTGTCAGATTCGATCGTGCGTGATACAGATTATATTCTTACATCAGATAGTGACATTATTCCGATATCTGAAAATGATTATAAACTAAAAAATGCTACAGATGGATTCATCTATAATGCATTTTGTTGTGGTTTCTTTAAGCGACGAGAAAAAAATCATCAAATGTATCCTATGAGTCATATATGTGTTACAAAAAAAACCTGGCGTAACATTTTGCTTGAATCAGTGCAACGGCAGGAGCTTCTCAATGCTAGTTTATCGCCGTCGAATGATATTCTTCTGTCGGGCAAAGCTCCATTCTCATTTGAAACCATGAGTCTCTATACTCGACACGAATTTCGTCAACTTTACGATTCAAATATGACCAAAGGTGATGCAGCATGGTTTATGGATCAAGCTTTTTCTTCAATGCTATTAAATGATTACCTTGAAAAACATACGAACATGAAAATTGATAAGCGTCATAAAAAATCCCAACGTCTTGATCCACATTTATCACATTTGTTTTGGCAACCGCACAAATTCAAACAATTTGGAGATGCACATATTATGCACGATGAAATATTTGATTCAAATAATTGGGCAGGCTTCAAAAAGTTATTACATTATATGTTTAATTCATCATTAGTAAATGAATTCGATTTATATTATAAACAGTTCGCTATTACTTTACGAGAAAAACCACAATATGGGGCTTAGTTCGAAATTTTTATATTTAGGTTATTGAAATTGAAATAAATCAAAGCGAATTTAAGAAAAGCATTCGCGATGGAAGGCTCCTATTTTGTAAATAATTCACTAGTTGTTTTCGTACGAATAAATAATCTTGATTATGAACTGTTGGTACATTTAAGTTTGTACAGAGAGGAAAAATTCAGAAAAACTGTTTCTCGAAATAAAAGATGATCACTCATAAATAACCACTGTTTTTTAGCAGAATAGGAAACAAATGACTTGTCTGTACGATTAACTGACTTGCTCGCAACGACAAAATCTAGTGATTATCTGTAGATTTAACCGATATAAAAAAAAACTATCCTGTTGTCAACTGAATAATCTTGACAGCCTTCATCAAAAAGAACTTTTCTTGTACTATTTTACTACGGAAAATAAATAGAATAGGTATAATAATTATTTTCAATTTATAAAAATTATAGGCCATTTAGGTCATATCGATAAATACCTTCTACAAAGTCCTTCAAACTAATTTCTCTACAATTTATTTCTATCATTTAATCATAAACATAATATGAGTGCAACGAAAAATATTCTCACAATCAAATATCAATATTTATAAACGCTGATGAGAAAATAATTTTCCAAAAACAAGTTAATATGACTTTCATGAAGTCATTAAAATCTGTTTGTAAAGTAGTATTTAATTAAAATTAAATCTTATGCCTATTTTATTTTACTCTACTCGCATAAGAAGAAGAATTCTTAGGAATTGATGTTTAATATCATCTCATAGAATATCTATATACATCAGGGTTACCAAATACAAACTTTAGAAATCAGGGAATTTTTCAGGAGAATTTTTTTCCTAAATCCGGAAAAAAATCAGGAGTGTTTTTTTTGCCATTCAACAGTCACTCGATGACGTTCATCTGATAACTTCCGATTTTTCACTAATAGATGCATTAACCTCTTTTCCTATAATGGGATTGATGCTGAAAATTTTCCTTGTAGACGAAATTAAAATTGAAAATAGAATGCTGATTTCATAAAGTTTATTTAAATAGATAATTAAAACGTGTTCATTAGAATGCATAGTAAAAACTACGTAGCCAATTTACTTAGCAATTCGTGACATTTGTGCGACATGACTAACAATCGAATATATGTTTCGAAAGGTCTGGCTCATTTAAAAGATAATCATAGAGTTCTGGTCAAGTAAAATAGACAGTGTTGCCAGATCCCCACATCTTGTGGAAAAATTCCAGATGTCGAAAGTTTTTCCGAATTTTCGCAGCTTTTCTCGATTTTTTCTAGATTTCGAAAAACAAATTCCGGAATTTTTTGGATTTTCGCGGTTGACATCAGGCAGCCTTCTTGGATGTGCACTTTTTTATTTAAATATATGTTGTAGATGTATATAAAGAGTATTTTTGTTTCGAATCCGTTAGAGTAAAACGTACTTTAAATGAAAAAACGGACCCAAAAACCTTTCCGCATTTTTTCAAATGTTGAAAAACGTTCGGCAAGTTTCCAGACTTTCAAGTTCGTCATCTGGCAACACTGAAAATGAGTGTTCATTTTAATCTTCAACTCAGCTCCAACTAAATCATGGCTCATTTAATTTTGGACTATCATTCCATATATAAGCTGAGCGTTTCCATAAATTTGTTCTTTTCTCTTGGAAATCGCTATAGGTTCAAAACGAAGTTAATCGCCACATTACAAAAATCAGGAGAAATCAGGAGATCCCTGGTCAAAACAGGAGATTTTATAACCCTGATACACATATATATTTGAAATAATAAAATATCGGCTCACAATATTTTAGTGAGCCTTTGCTAAGCTATGACTTTGTATAGAATTAATCTTCTTATGAGCTGGATAAGATTTAAGACTTGGCGAAATGATGATTTCTCTTTTAAATTTAATAATTAAAATACTCAGAATTTCTTTAATGATAATACGATCAATATATTCTATTTTTCAATACATATTGCAATTCAGACAATTTAATAGGATCTGTTCACTTGATAAAATGAGCAAGATGCTCCTATCAAGTAGACAGCTTGATTAGTTCCATTCATTGATTTTTCAATTGTTGAATGCGGACAAACGACACGATCTTAAATTCGATTATTCATTGAAGTTTTCCTCTTTTTTCCTTAATGAAAATTTAAGTACAAGCTATTGATGGCATGCTCATTTAGAAATCTTTACTATTTTGTTTTTTGTCTAAGTGAGATTTCTAATGATGATTAAACATCCGGTAGATGAAATTATCGAATCGAGTTGTTCCTCTCTTTTTCTTTTGCTAATTTGTCAAGCTAATTAATCATAGATTTTTGAAAGCTCAGCAGCTTTTCCTTTTTTAACACATGAACACTAATTATTTGGCTTTCGTAGATGTATTTATATCTCATAAGAAACTATTGAGAAATTGCTGTGACAATTGTTCCCTGGAGAGAGGAAAAAATGAGAAAAACTATACAAATAGTTTATCCGTTGTCATTGCTTCGGCTATAATCTTGTTCCCGTCTATAATTTAAGATGTTCTTCTTGCTTTCTTTTTTCTTCGTTCTATCCAAAGTGCGTATTAGTAATTTTCATCTCTTATTCATACTGCCACCACCATTTCAGACAATGTCGTCTATTATTTATTGATGCTGGGAGGTAGAACCAACACTAATTTATTCTCTTCACCTTCTCAATCGAATAGGCTGCCTCATACGACGATAAGTGTAGAGTAAGACGCAACGGGAGGGCTGCTAGATGAAGGGAAAAGAGAGAAAGAGTCGGTTTACCTTTTCTCCTTCTCGATCAGCATCGAACGGGTCATGGTTCATATTCATTGTCATATATGTATATATGCACATACCTACTACATATCGATTATTTACAGCAGCCAGAATAATCCTGTATGGCGCATTTAACGACAAGAAACGAATGAATGCGTGACAGGGTCAAATCAATCCATCATATCATAAAACGAACTATTAAAATCAGTATAGAGAAAGAAAACGTGAAATTGATGACATTAAAGCTATTTATATAATGGCTCCATGTTTCTTCATCTAGTAGATATATTTTTTATACAACAAGAAAAACGTTTCTTCCCTTTCACTGTGTATCCATGTCGCGTGTGTGAACAAACAAATGGGAAGAGGAGAGAAAAAAAATGAAGGAATCAATAGCGAGAATGTGTATAAAAAACGAACAAAACGGCACGAACACACGTATAGACCCGATGCGACACAAAAATCGAGAGAGAGAGAGAGAGAGAGAGACAGACAAAAAAAAGAAGATGTCGTTTAAATTGAGATTCAAATAGATTGCACATCGACCGGGCTTTTCCAAAAGAAAACAATCAAGAAAAGAAAAAAGAAATGTTCTATTATGTTGTTGTTGTTGTTGTTGCTATTTTTCGTTTACATATGCTGTTCAGGTGATGATGGATCAGGTGGTGAATAATCTTGATGTGAAAATGATGGATAGAAATGTTGTTGGGATGACATAGATTCTTGTTTCATATAGGAATAAGGATTATTTCCATTTATATTATTATTATAACCATATTGAATATGCGGTGGTGGCTGAGGACTTGTACTTGTTGATGGACCATAATGATACATGGGAGGTGGCGGAGGAAATGGATGTGAATAGAGCCCACTTGGATCTGTCATTGAATAAGCCGAATTACAATCAGTTAAATATGGCGACGATGATGACGCCGATATAACATTCGATGGTAAAGCCCAACTTGAACCTCTTGGTGGTGGAAGATTAGATGGATTTGTATGATGATGTTGCTGCATAAGATGATGAGATTTATCTTTTTTATTTATCAATGATGAATTATGGTTGGATGTTACTGTTGTCGATGATATTGATGATGATGATGTTGTTGTTTGTAAATTTTTTGTTTTACGTCTCGGCCGATATTTATAATCGGGATGTTCTTTCATATGAATTGCACGTAAACGTTTAGCTTCATCGATGAATGGTCGTTTATCTTCTTCATTTAAACTTTTCCATTCGATACCTAAACGTTTACTTATTTCGGAATTATGCATTTTGGGATTTCCTTGTGCCATTTTACGTCGTTGTCCACGCGACCAAACCATAAATGCATTCATAGGACGTTTAACACGATCGTCAAGAGATTTTTTTAGTGACGAATTATGATGTTGTTGTTGTTGATGATGATTATTCGTTGTTGATTGAGATGATGGAAGAGAATTCGGTGTTAACGCTGCTGAAGATGTTGTTGGCGTTGCTCCTGATGGTGATGATAATGGAGATACTGGTTCATCTTTCGAAGAATTTGAATGTGACTCATTCATGCCACCATTGGAATATTGTGATGGTGGAACTTGTAAATGGTGTGACATCATTAAATGTGTATGCGAAGGATGAGGATTCATCATCCAATTTAATGATGGTGGTCCTGCGGATTGAGCTTGAATTGGAGAATCATATACATTTCCATGATGATAAGAAACATGATGTGGATAATGAGATGTGTTAAACGGTAGATCAGAATTCGAATCCATATTGTACAGAGAGACCATAGCTAAATGATTTTTTCATAGATACATCTATAGAAAATGATTAAGATATAAGAAAAAAAATTTGATCTTACTCATACAAAGAAAAAAATTGCAAATGATCAAAACACTTAGTGTTGTTGTTCCATTAGTTAATGACTGAATGAAATAAAATTAAAAAAAAAGAAGAAATCATTATCAGATGTTATTATTTTATTTTATTTTATTTTTATCTCTAGTTCTCAATGAGTAGTTAGTCGATCAACGTCATTCTCAATGGTTAGATTGAGTATGTGTAAAGCAATTATAGATTCAATTCATTTATTGTTTAGATTTTTGTTCCTTCTTTGCTTTTTCTATTGTTAAAGAATAATAGGAAGAACTTTACCTGGTGTATTTATATGTATTTGTAATGTATGTGTATATAGTGTGATTGTTAATGAAAAGAAACCATCACGATGATTTCAATACAATACAATCGCATCGATACTCTCAATGTGGCTGACGCCGACGCCGTACACACTTAGCCCGATTTTTTTCTTCCCTCTCTCTCTCTCTCTCTCTCTCTACGGATGGGAGCACAAAAGAAGAAAAAAAATTGAGAGAAATATTAAGTATTGGATTCGTATTGTATACTGCGTCAATAACAGCACATGGTTTCTCGTGTACGAATGTGTATATGTGCGGCTGCTCTAAAGGTGTGAGAGTGTATTGTTCGACGCAGATTTTCTCTCCTCACTCGCTTCTCTCTGTATATATGTGTGTGTGTGTGTATGTATGTCTCTCTCTCTCTCTTGCTTGCTGTCGTTCTGACGTTGTTCTTTCTACTTGAATAATAATAGCAGTCGGGTCAGGTATGCGGGCGAACAAAATCGAGCGCATTCGTTAGCAGAACGCAACAGAAAGAGGGATAGAGAGAGAGGAGAATTTTCTATCTTATTCTCCACCAATGCGCTGCCATTTGATATAAGTATCATTGCGATTGGTGCACAAATGAGAAAATTCAGCCAATCATTCCGATAGTGAGTCTAAGCAAGAAAGAAAAAATTCATTAGAATATTTTATTGTTTGTTGTTGCAATTGGCGCACGCGCGTTTATATGCTTGTATATACACTCTTATAAAACATCGAAACAAGAAAAATAAAAAAAAAATAAAAAGAATGAGCACGACAGAAACGAAACAAAAAGTACTGAATGCTTTTGATTTTGGGTCGGATTGTAAATAGCCTAAAATAAAGAAAAGAAGAAAGAATAATGAATTCAGTTCAGCTTATCATTAGACGGATTAAGAGAATATTTTTGATCCATTACTATTGTTAATGATGCAATGAATAATAACAAAAAAAGAACTAATCTCTTTTCTTTTAGAAAAAATATTTGCCTATTAAGCAGACATACAGATAAATATCTAATCATTAAGTGATAGATAACATAACAAAAACAAAAAAAATGTTAAACTGCATTTGTCACCTCAATTGGTATAATTATATACGTAAGTTGTCAATAGAGAAGAAGAAAAAACGATGTAAGAGAGATATGAAGACATATTTTATTTCTAATCTCTTTCACGTGCACATATACGTATACTCGAAAAATCGAATCGTAACTTCTGCTCAATAATTATGGCTTTGCTTCGTCGTGTCAAACGTGTTGAGTTACACAGCATGAATTATCCATATAGAATCTTGTTTCTTTCGATGATAATTAATTAATTGAATAACCTATAATTGAGTTTGAACGTGACATACGATGCTGAGAACTTCTTTTTCTTCTTCTGCTTGTCCCTTCGCAAAAAACAAGAACCCCTGCGTCGATTAGGCATCAGCTGGCTACGATCATCATTATGGTCACCCCGCCTATCATCATAATCATCGTTTCAATCGATTTTTCATTCCTTTTTTTTCTCTTGCTCTCTTGAGTAGCTATCGGGCATCAACTGTTCGCAACTACCTTCCGAGAACACCAGCGAAACATTTCCGTTTTTATTCTAATCAAACACAACACAGAGAAATTGATTGAGCAGAAGAAGAAAATTCTTTTGAAATATATGCACATAAGATAGACGTAAAAGAAAATACTGTGCATACTCTGCTTGCTTATTCGAGTATATTTGCCTTCTATTATTCATGATTTTATTTGCTTAATATCTTTGAGTATGCCTCTTTCGTTTCGTTTCACCTATATCAGAACTTAAATAAACATCAATGGCTACTGTCGAATGATTAGATTGTCAAATCAAACTTTTTTTTTTCGTCTCCATATTATTTGATCTATGATGAAAATAAGAAACAGGTGTTAGATCCGCCTACTAATAAATTTAAGTTCAACACATTATAAACACAGAAGAACAAGCAAAAAAAAGAGGTTATGCTGATCTTGATATATTTAGTAATGTTCGATTTAAAACTAGACGAACGGATGTTGATAAGTATCCGGCTTTTCTCATCGATATATACATATATATGACTAGAAGGAAATTGCACACGTATGTTCCACGTAAGAGAATGCGAGAAATCATTTTGACACCTTATTTTTTGTCTCTTTTTCTCGTTTTCATTTCAACGATAGATGATGATCGATGTGTGTGTGTGTGTTATAGTTTCGCTAATGTGCCCGTTGGCCCAAAAAAAAAAGTCGTTTGCTATTTTAACGACAATACTAACAAAAAAAGAAAAGTACATTGCAATACGTGTTCACTTGAGCGTATGCTGTGGGAGAAAGCACCTTCCTATAATATATATATATATATATATATGAATTTTTTATATGTCTGATTGTGCTTGACTGAACAACAGTGCTCTATACGAAATGATATCACTCATTTGATCCATCATTAGGAATGAATAGAAGAGAAAAACTATTTCCCAAGAGAAAAATGGGTTGGTTCGATGTAATGAAGCGAAGCCGGAGGCGGGCTCCATGCCATTCGATTATTGACATAGAATGTCTTTCATTCTTTTGCTCATTTTAATTATGTAGACAAGCACCTTATCCATCCGGAATATAGATCAAACGACTCAACGAAAGCCGGCAAACATTGCCAATTGTTTCCTGATGACATTCCATGCAGATAAATTTCTTTCGTGATATTGAACCGTCGGTACTCAGATATTTTCTTTTTTCTTCTCCTTCTTTATTATTTGTCAATGTGCGTGATTTGAAGATCAATGATAGATCTTCCCATATCGTCTCTCTCGTCTTTTGATAGTTGTCTTATTTTTTTTTATACTGTGGTTGGAACGATGATGCCAATTCAACGGACGTCGTTCGACTTCCTTCCGTCACCGTCGGTCGGAAGGTGAATGAAAGCGAACGCAAACGATAGTTCAAGTTGGCAAAAAAAGAAGAAAATGAGAAGGATACTTCAGCTGATTCTTAAGTAGCAATTTTGCCGTGTTGCTGTCCAGCTCTTGACTTGTGCATGCTCTAAGAAAAAGAAAATGAGTCCTAGAGAGAAAGAGAGAGAGAGAGAAAGAGTGAATGAGACATACAGATTCGAAGAAAAGGATATCATCATTCTCAGGGATCAATTTTCCAATCGTTCACATCACTTAAGCTGTTGTTGTTGTTGTTATTTAAGAAATCGGATTGTATAAACGATAGAATAGACATTTGTCACAACATTCAATATATCTATTCGTGTCATTAGTTTTGTCAAAATAGAAAACCTAATTAGAAGATTGAATTGTTCGTGCTCATGAATATATGCTTTTTCTATCCCCATGGAACACCGATCATCATCTCTGAGAGAAAGTGAGTGAGTTGCGTGACCGAGCGTCTCTTGAGTGATTGTGCTCGGGTGACAAACATGTACAATGATGCTGTCAATGCATTTTCTATGCGCGTGATTTGATTCGATTGGGGACTATGTGTGCGTGTCAATCGAGACAAACTGTCACCGTCACCATCATCATCATCATCATCATCGACGCGACAGACAGACAGAATGGCATAGATTTGAAAAATGAAATTTTGTGCGGTACCTGTTTGTTTTCGTTTGAAAGAAGAGATGGGGATTTTTCTCGCTCGCTCTCTCAGTTTGTCAAGCAAGATTTAGATCAATATTTATTTATCATCTTTACTAATCCTTAATTCTATGTATGTCACGCGCTCACGGCAAGTGAAGGTCGTCCACTTAACACATCTATACTCATTATAAGCTTAGTAAAGTAAAGAAAAGGATTGTACAACATCGTTGATCGATCAACAACACATAGAAATACAAGCTCTTATTTACGATCAATTAGATCTTTTCGATTATTTTGAAGATTTTTTTTGAATAATCAAGAATCGACAGAAAACGGAAACACTTGAAATGCAATAGATGATTTGTCATCAAAGACCATGTGCCGACATTGCAATCGAAAAAAGAAATCATACTTCTTTTTTTTGCCAGGTTGAAAGTCATTATCGTTTCTTTTAATTTCTATTCAAATGAGCAGATGAAATAGAACAATAAGATGAATATTTGCTATGTCATCTTGCACATAGGCGATATTCTCTTTGCAAAAATCGGCATATCCTACTATTTTGAAATTATAGCTGATTTAATTCCACGATGAGCATGGAATAAATTATTTGCTTTCTTCCGGACAATCAAAGACGTGACAAGAAAACTTCAATTGTATACGGAACACGAAGAAACAAAAGCATTTCATGGTGAGAACTAACATGAGATCATCGATCCCTTTGGCGATATTCTCAATTAAAACTAATATGCTCTTTGCTAGATATATAGATGATTGTTAAATACATTTGAATTCATCAATAATGTATCAATATTTACAAAGAAAATATACTATAAAAACTATCGAATTTCATTCAAGTAATTATATATTGAATTAATCGATGAAAAGTTTTGTTTTTCTTTCGATTTTTTAGATGTGTTACTGTACAAAATTCACGTACAAAACGCATGTATGTTTCACATGTCAAGGTTATACTTACAGTATATTATTTTTACTTCAAAATACTATCAAAACAAACATAAAAACAAACGCTTTTT